GAGAAACTTCAGAAAATAACAGCTCGGCAATTAGAGGTAAACAACAGGGGGCGCTCCTAAGGTACCGCCTCGTAGTCCCAAATGTAAATATGCAAGACAGGGGGAATCTCCCGAGGAACCGTCTCGCAGTCCCAAAGTAAATATGCAGTACAGGGGGATCTCCCAAGGAACCGCCTCGTAGTCCCAAAGTAAATATGCAGTACAGGGGGATCTCCCAAGGAACCGCCTCGTAGTCCCAAAGTAAATATGCAGTACAAGGGGATCTCCCGAGGAAACGCCTCGTAGTCCCAAAGTAAATATGCAGTACATGGGATCTCCCGAGGAATCGCTTCGTAGTCCCAAAGTAAATATGCAGTACATGGGGATCTCCCGAGGAACCGCCTCGTAGTCCTAAAGTAACTATGTAGTACAAGGGGATCTCCCGAGGAAACGTAGTCCCAAAGTAAATATGCAGTACATGAGGATCTCCCGAGGAACCGCCTCGCAGTCCCGAAGTAAATATGCAGTACATGAGGATCTCCCAAGGAACCGCCTCATAGTCCAAAAGTAAATATGANTTATATGAATAGAGTCATTTATGAAAATTGTGTGTTTACTCATTTCGTTTGTATCGTATGGATCATGCCAAAAAGAAAGAAGGGATAGCCTTAACATACCTAAGCCGATTCTCTTGACAATCCCTCTAACACACGTCAATTGCGACAACATGTAACGGCGAATCGAAGTAGGAAAAAATTCATATGATATTCTTGAGAAAGATTGCACTGTATTCCTTAAAATTGCAAAATCTCACGCTATATTGTAACATGAAGTCCATCCGTAAGCTTAACATCACCAAACAAATATCTCATTAAGCTTAGCATCATACTTTAAATGAGATTAAAAGATTTCTCAAAGTTAGGAGCTCCACCCGTTACCTTGTTGAAGATCGTTACTTGGTAGATGTAGAATACCTCCATTTTGGTGAATTTGATCACACTCTTGTATGGCTTTCCTTGCTGAAGCAATAACGTTTCCATTCTATGTTAAATTACAGTCCATTCCTAGCACACATATCTTCATTCTCCATAATAATAATGTAGTAAATAATGATGTAGGAAGATTGTTTTAAGACTTTTGGTTGTGGGCCTCACTTTAAGGGATGACTAAGCATCAAATATTCTCTTAAAATGCCACATTGTAATGAGAGTTAAGAGTCATTATTAATGCCTCTTTGGGCTGCCACGTGAAGGTTTATTAAACCTTATCCAAATAACTTAATCACTTAGTTAATCTCTTACTAAAATTCATAATTACCTATTACCCACATAATTAAGAATTATCTCAAATTACTTAAAATACTACTCACTTTTAACGCACTTTATACATTTTACTATTATGGTCATGTGGTACCTTGTATGGCACTAGTTCATATATACCGGGTATTATAGCTCGGACCGTATTTTATCCCAAAATGTCAAAATTTGACAAAATTTATTTTCTTCGATTTGTTTACCCTCTCACTTTCACGAATTTACTTACCACTTGTTTGAAATAGTATAATTCTTATAATCTCCAAATAATCTCATTCCCGAGCTTTCATCAATTCACTTACTGCGTACTTTTACGTACGAAAATATGGGATGTAACAAGTGACAAGGTAAGGTCAAGGCCCTACTGGTTTTAAAAGAAAAGTAAGGCATAAGATATAATAATATTTGAAATGACTGAAAATTTAAATACGAGAAACTTCAGAAAATAACAGCTCGGCAATTAGAGGTAAACAACAGGGGGCGCTCCTAAGGTACCGCCTCGTAGTCCCAAATGTAAATATGCAAGACAGGGGGAATCTCCCGAGGAACCGTCTCGCAGTCCCAAAGTAAATATGCAGTACAGGGGGATCTCCCAAGGAACCGCCTCGTAGTCCCAAAGTAAATATGCAGTACAAGGGGATCTCCCGAGGAAACGCCTCGTAGTCCCAAAGTAAATATGCAGTACATGGGATCTCCCGAGGAATCGCTTCGTAGTCCCAAAGTAAATATGCAGTACATGGGGATCTCCCGAGGAACCGCCTCGTAGTCCTAAAGTAACTATGTAGTACAAGGGGATCTCCCGAGGAAACGTAGTCCCAAAGTAAATATGCAGTACATGAGGATCTCCCGAGGAACCGCCTCGCAGTCCCGAAGTAAATATGCAGTACATGAGGATCTCCCAAGGAACCGCCTCATAGTCCAAAAGTAAATATGAAGTACAGTGGGATCTCCCGAGAAAACGCCTCGTAGTCCCAAAGTAAATATGTAGCAGATAACCGAAGCAATAACGAATTTACATCAAGAATCTTACAGTTAAAGATCTAATTCAAATCAAGGGAAGCAGGTAATTCAACTAAGCATGTTGCACAAATTGCAAGTAAGAGTTAAGGCACGTAGACATGCGATACTAGGCTAAACATGATCACTACATATGCTAAGGCAACTCAATTAAGGAATTTAAAAGGAAACAACTCAGCAAGAATCGAAATTTCCACAATTAGCCCGTGTACGCATTCGTCACCTCGCGTACACGGTGCTCACATATCACAAATTGTTTCAACTATACTAAATCCTAAGGGAATTTTTCCCACGCAAGGTTAGGCAAGTCACTTACCTCTAATCTTGCTCAATCAATTGATAAAGATGCCTTTCCCTCGATTATCCGACTCTGAATGACCCAAATCTAGCCAAAAGCAATTACATATCATAAATACAACTACAAGAAACTAATTTAAAAAATAAAACTACGACTTTAGCAAAGAACCGAAAATTCGGCCCAAAAGGCCGACTCGGACCCTCGTCTCGGAATCGGGTAAAAGTCACAAAATACGAATACCCATTTGATATCGATTTCACCCATACCAAAATTATCAAAATCCGACACCAAGTCGCCACTCAAATCCTCAAATTTAACTCTCCAAATCCCTAGCCTCAAACTCCCACATTTCACCTTAAACACACATAATCTAGATAGGAAAATCAATGGGGAAACAAGATTATTGATCAAAAATAAGAACAAGGTACTTACCTTAAGAAATTCCTCGAAAATGCTCTCAAGAAATGGCCAAACCCGAGCTCAAAATGTTCAAAATGATAAAAAATTCCGAACCCTTGAATTAGTAGAGTTTGTCAAGTGTTTTTGCTTCTACGGATCAGTTGACCGCACCTGCGATCCCGCTTTTGCAGAAAATACACCGCTTTTGCGGTTTTTCCCAGACTGCCTTACCTCCGCTTCTGCGATTTCCTATACGCTTCTGCGGACACACTTCTGCGGCTCCAGCGCACCTGCGACCTCCTTGTCCGCATCTGCGGTCTCGCAGATGCGGAATTTTCCTCGCATCTGTGACTTCTGCCCACACTGCTCCAGCCCACTTCTGCGGGCTCGCACCTGTGGTCAATCTTGCGCATGTGCGATTACACTAGAGTTGGTGCCTTCAGCCATTCTCCCAAGTCCAAATTCGATTCGTTAACCAACCGGAATTCACCCGAGGCCCTCAGGACCTCAACCCAAACATACCAACCAGTCCTAAAACATCATACGGACTTAGTCGAGCCTTTAAATCATATCAAACAACGCTAAAAACACGAATTGTGCATCGATTCAAACCTAATGAACTTTAAAACTTCAAACTTCTACATCTGACGCCGAAACCTATCAAATCAAGTTCGATTGACCTCAATTTTGCACACAAGTCATAATTGACATTACAGACCTATTCCAACTTCCGGAATCGAAATTCGACTCCGATATCAAAAAGTCCACTCCCGGTCAAACTTCCCAAAAATCATCTCATTTTTCAACTTTTGCCAATTGATCCTAAAATGACCTACAGACCTCCGGTTCAACATCCGAACACGCTCCTAAGGCCAAATCGCCCTACAGAGCTATAGGAACCGTCAAAACTCCATTCCGGAGGCGTCTTCACACAATTCAACCTACGGTCAATTCCTACGGCTTAAACTTCCATTTTAGGGATTATGTGTCCCATTTCACTCCGAAACCAAAAACAAATCCTCCCGGCAAGTCACGTAACCACAAAATGAAATAGAGGGAGAAATAAATAGGGGTTCGGAGCTAATTCTCTCAAAACGACCGGTCGGGTCGTTACATATAATTATCACAAACTTCATACTACTACTTAAACTAATGGTTAAGTAATTGTTATCAATCTTTAATATTCAAAAAATTTATCAGAATGCAATTCGTTTTGCTAATATCATCTTAACTTCAATAGATATATTTCTATAGAAGTAATTTTCAGGGGAAAAAATCCGACATGTATATGTTACAGTAATCAAGAATTTTATGTGTGTCAATAAGTAAAATAAAAGAAATATAATACTTTTTACTTTCTAGTTTCAGTAAAAGAACAATTGTAAAACAATTAACAAGTGTGTTATTGAACCATGTAAACCCTACATCAAAATTTTCAAGCTATAAATCTTCTTTAAAATCTGCAATATGCGCCAAGTTCAGATGTAGAGTTTACGCAGATTCTGATATAACTCAGTAATTTTAACTCAAATTCTATATTTATCGTAAAGAATCATTTGATATTCATAAATTATCAATTTAGAACTCATTAACTCTAAAAATCTAGAATATATAGCTCATAAAATTCAAATCTTGAATTAATCTTCGACAATCAGGGCCGAAAACTCTTTCATCAAACCAGGTTCTTGTATTTTCATCTGAAATGTTGACTCCAATGAGGTAATTTGAAGTTTGCTATTATAGGATCTCATTCTGTAGGTTTTCAACTTTCAAGGCATTGGTCCTTGTTCGCGATCGAGTGCCGACCAGGAGATAATCAATTCTCAGATTTTGTAACCTTTATTTACATGAATTACCATTTCAGAAGCCTCTGAAATATTCAATATTAATTAGAACCAAACGTAAAACTTTATCGAGTTAAAAGCTGCTTTTGGTAAAAATAGCAAAAGTTAGTAGAGGGGTAATCAAAGTGCCGGTATAATATACTCCAATAGTAATCAACAATATTTAATATGAATACATAAAACTTGAATATTTGTACTATATGAATATTTGTACATAAAACTTGAGAGTCGAGATCCGAGTATACAATGAATTCTATATGGAGTAATATTTAATAAGTTTTATAATATTAAAACAGTTCGACGCAGTTGTTCCCACTTCCCATACACACTGCGACTTCCACGTGCTGGCGCGAAGTTTCAAATAGTCAAACCGTTCTATTTCCCAATTTGGAGCTGCATTTGTTACACATTTACCGGTTCATGCCATCCCCACCGTGCTCTCTAGAGGGATGCAGGTTCCAGAGAACTCCTTAACTTTTGTTCCGTAAACTGTCGAAATCGGGCTCGACTATTGCATGACAGATCGGACTCGAAACGCAAGGGGTTGAAAATTGACCTGAAATCTCATCGAACCAGAATACGAGGTCAGAATGTTCATTCTTAAGAATATTGAGTCAATGATCCCGGGATCGATCTTGACCCTGAATAAGCTCGAGGAAACATAATTGGTATAACCAATAGAAAATCGAAATAACGGAAGGATAAAATATCCGTAACCGGTCGAATATCACGGCGGAAATCTCGGCACGTATCAATAAGGAACCGGCAAATCAGCAAATCAGGAAATTTTTTACCTTTTATAGAATTGTACCTAAAATAGGACTCCCCTATTATATAAAAGGGGTCTGATTAATTGTGAAACACACTGTAACTCACATTCGAAAGTAATATATTGTTATTTTTAGTTTTTATTATTCTCTTGTCATTCTGTTCTGATATCAATAAAAATACTTTTGGCTCGATGACGGCTAACCTTTTAAGGCTAAGACTTTTCAACCTGTGTGGTTTGCATTTGCTTTCTCATTATTTATTTTAATTTCAATATGATTTATCATTTTGTATCAAGATAGATCACGTATCCTTAAAATCACGTACAAATATAATTGTTATCCAATTTTAAAGGTAAACATATTTAAATATTATATTTATTTTAAAATTTTCATTGACTATATATAAAAATTATATTAATTTAGAATAAAGTAACTTAACAGGATTATCCTTCTAAATCCATAAGGCTTGAATCTTGGCTTTGCACATAAGCCTAGGAGGAGCTAGAGGGGCTCCAAACGGCCTTTATCGAAAAATTAACAATATATTTATGATTAATTGTTTTTTCAGTTATATGATAAAAGATGAACTCTTGGTAAACATTCTACTTCCGATATTATCCCCTCCCAATAGTAATATAGTATAGATCCCATTGTTTCCCATAAATTATCTTAAATTACTATTGAATGACCCGCTTTATTTTTGTCATTAACTTAAGATAATTTTGTCATTCAAAAGCTAATGATTGGGATATTGTTTCCCAAATTCATCATATTAAGGGCGTTACATAAAACTTACTCTTGTAATATTGATAATCTTTTTAAATGAAGTAGTAAGCTGTCAGATAATAATAAGAAAAAAAAATAATTCCCCCCTCATGCCCTTCCATGAAGAGACATGTCTGCTTTATTTCTCTTTGATTTTTCTCTTTTTCTCTGTTCATTTTATATCATGATTGTGTCATATCAAATGAAATATTGGATAATAGAGAGAAAGAAAGGTGTAATTTTGTTAAGGTTGGTATTATGAGAATTTGATGGAAGAGTTGGCTGAGGAGATGATAAGGTTATTAGACATTTTTGCCTTGTCTTTATTTGTTAATGGCAGACACTTTATAGGAAAAAAAGTTGAAATCACAAGCTGTTAGTTTGTTTTATTCTCATTTTCTTGGCTTTAATTATTGCCCTTAGGCCCCCCTATATTCTCCTTACACCATCACCCTCATACACCATTTTCATAGTTCCACTATCAAACTAATTAATTTTTTTAAAATCATAATATGCAATCCGTGATCCTTTTATTAAGAAAGTGAAGTGGAGATTATTGTATTATATACCAACAAAAATATTTTCTCCTCCCTTCTTATTTTTCTTTTTCAATTTCCCTTCCCATTTATTGGTTTTTGAAAAAAAAAAAGAAAAAAAATGAGAAGAAGCTTATCTTACTCTCATTATCCTAAATTATTTGAGACACTTATTTATTTAAGAGTAAATATACCCATTGATATGACATTTTCATCCGTTTAAAATATTTTTAGCTATATAAAGTTTTAGTCTATAATATGTTTTATTCAATTTTAATTTGTAATATATTCCAACAAATTTAAGAGTTAATAATCGAATTCTACACTGAAAATTGAATAAGTTAATTTTGAAACTTCAGTTTCAATTAGTCTTTTTTGGAACAAAAAGAAAGATTCATTATTTTCTTTACAAAGTTAAGAAGCAAAAAGTGAAAACTCAACTAAGATAGCATTTGTAAAAAAAAATGTTAAATTTAAATTTTGCAACACTATTGTTAGAATTGTTATTGAATAGTAATAAATTACTAATATTCAATAACATTTCTAATTTATGTCTTGCCTTCGTTTGTTTAGTAAATAAATAAATATATTTTTAGTACCCATTACCACTCTAGTACAATGAGCCAAAGAATGTCAAAACTGTAATTAACAGAAGAGTCAAGGGGTATTTGTAAGCTAGCGCATTGATATTTGTGGACCCACGTGGGATGTCCCCCCATCCCTCTTATGTTCCTCGAAACTATCAAAAAACCTTAACCCGTTTTACGTTTAACGTAATCTAACGATCTTTTTTCCCTCCTCTTTTTGGCCCTTTCTGAAAATTATCTCCGCCCTCTGTTTTTTCCTCTTATCCCTACACTCTTCTCTCACTTTCACCCTTGTCAGAAAAATTAAAAAGAAACACACACACACACACACAAAATATTACAGTATAAAATACCAATAAAAATAACAATAATCTGAGTGTCTAGCATGTTGCAGAAGTTGATCCCAATCTGATCTGGCTATTCAAATTTCATTTTCTATAGTAATTAATGCTCGTTAGAAAAAGTCACAATTTATTATACGCATCACACACACTAAGCTCAGATTTCATTTTCAATTTTAGTATTTCTATAGTGTACTTTCCTTTTTTTCCCAGTCTATACTCTATAGTGTCACATGTCGGTCCTGATTCTTGAAATCTAAGTTAGAAAGGTGTCCTTTAATTAAACTCCATTTTTGTAGTTTCTTTTGTAATTTGTAAAGTAGAGAGTAGCAGAAAGAGGAAAAAGAATTATGGGGGAGACTCACAATCATGACCACAGCCACCAGCCACCGCCGCCACAGGTGGCGGCGCCACCAGCAATGCCACTTGGTTCTGCCAGAGGACCACTTTTTCCTCCTGCGGAGCAACTCCTTCAGCTTCACTACTGCATACACTCTAATCCTTCTTGGCGTTAGTATTCTGATTCTCTCTTTTAACTATTTATATAGTAAAAGTGCCATACCAAAAAGATAAAGATGAAAATTTAACACACTCTTTTTGTAAAGTTTGTTTTTTTAAATAATATTTTTTGGTTGGGGTGAATTTTAAAATTTAAAAGTATTGTTATTGAAAGTAACGTTTTTGCAGAACAAGATTCTATTCTGTAAATGTTTTAGTTTTCTGACCTTTGGAGTTTGAGTGGTATTGTTATCTTGGAGAAAGTTGAGCTTTTTTTAGTAGTCTTTTTTCAATTCTTTTCTTTGGGTCTAATTGGTACAAAATTAGATTCTAATTCTCTGCAAGTTTAGTCACTGTTTCCTCTTATCCGGAGATAATTATGAAAAAGAGAGGTTATAATTTTTAGTTTATAGTAAAGTAAGAAAGATTATCGCCTAATGAAGATTGGCCAAGATTGTCATAGAACCCCAGGAAAGTTTCAAAGCTTAACAAAAACAATTATGGAGTAAGTTGTAGAATATAAATTAAAAGCTCATTGGTGTTACTTATAGTTCATGACTTGGAGATTTCCTTGGGCCGATTGCAGTGAGATAAGATTGATCAAAATACCCCAATATTGTTGCTAATTGAGCACAGTGGCGGAGTGAGTATTTTCATTGAGGGGATCAAAATATAAAGAAGTAAATCCATGAAGAAGCCAAGGGGTGTCAATATGTGGTATATATACGTAAAAATAAATTACCTCGCTACACAGTGTAATTTCCGACGAAGGGGTGTCGTGTGGCTCCTCAATCCATTGATTGAGCCAATGCTATGTTCTCAATGAAGAGTCTCTTTCGTGTGTGATTGTTGGCGAATTTGTTTTTGGAATGGACATTGCATGGTTGGGTAAATGGTTGCTGATGCAAGTTGGTTGCCCCTTTGTAATATGGCACAATGAATAATACTTATCTAATTAGAGCTCTTAAGATGAGCCAAAGATTAGATAGACGAGAGTGCCAACACCTTTCAAAAAAGAAAGAATTACAAAATGGACACAAGCCCAATAGCGCACGGGCATTCATCATGCTAAGGTGATTACAGTGAGTAATTGAAAGGATGAGAGGGGAGAAAAAGATAAGTTCAGCTGAATTCTAGTTCAGTCACTTGTCAAAAGGAAAAGCCAATTCAGATTTTAATCACTTAATATTCATCCTAACTTCTCAAGTGTCCGAGGCAGTGCAATGACCCCCTCATGTAAGTTGCTTGATGGTTATGCATTTATGACAACGATCAGGTGAAGGAATCAAAATCATATAAAGCTCCCCGTTTCTCCAGAGTTTGGAGTTGAGATTGCTCCGAGTAAAAATGCTTTTGTTGCTGTGGAGTTGAAGCATGTTCTTCTCTTTTTTTCTCGGGGAAGCTGTATATCATCTGAAGACTAAGAATCAAACTGTTTAATGGGGGACTGAGTTGTATTGAACTTCTTTTCGAAGACTACTATAAACTTTGCGATCATACAATAAATGATTTCCCAACCAAAAGGAGCTGGAGACTCTCCATGAGAAACCTAAAATTATGTGGATTGGGTTCTGGTAAAGACGAATAATCCTCTTAACCATTGCAAGATTGCCTCAACATCACCTTTTGATAGAATAAAGGTCTCATATTGAGAAATAAGACCTGGTTTACAGTTTCCTTGATTATGCTGCATGTGGACCACTCAAAGGAAATTAAATGACTTTTGAACGAATTTGGAAACTCTCATGGATAATTTGATGTGGCATTTACGGATTCACTTCTAATTATTTGTAATGCAGTTCTTGTTCCTGTCAATTAGGAACTTTTTACTTTGTTATATAACAAAGAAAATAAAAGAATTCCAGAAAATAGTGGCCAGAACGATTTTAGGATTTGAAGTTCCCACATGTGGTAAATGAATTACAGATTCCATAACTTTTGGTCTTTTTTCTCTAATCAGTTGCATGATTCCACATTTTGCAGCACAAACTGTTTTGCTGGCTTTCCAACACTACATAGTTATGCTTGGAACTACAGTAATGATTGCCACCGTGCTGGTACCTCAGATGGGTGGGGGTCCGGTATATCTTCATCATTTCCCTCGTTGAGTATTGGAGATCCCATTTCAATGTAATATTGACATAATGAGCTCTTTAACTTCGTGCATAGGGTGACAAAGCTCGAGTTATCCAATCTTTGCTTTTCACATCAGGAGTGAATACTCTTCTGCAAACGCTTTTCGGCACAAGACTTCCCACTGTGATGGGTCCGTCATTTGCTTACATCATATCAGCACTGTCGGTCATTAACGATCTCTCTGACGGTAATTTCAGAAGTGAGCATCAGGTAAATAAAGTTTACTGTGTAGGTATTATCTCTATTACTTGTATAATATATTTTGTGGATCTGTTTTTCCTTATTTTCTCAACCCTTAGTAGGCTTGTCCCCCTTTTACTTGATTACACAGAAACACTTGCTTAGAAGAGTGATTGCTCATCTTCTCTGGTCTTGTTTATTTCTCTTAAGATCATTGACTACTCTTGAAACAAGGTTCCGTTTACATCATAGTCACCTTAGCTTTAGTACTCTGATATTAATTCTTTGATATTGAATGTTGGATCTTGTAGAGATTTAGTACAATTGCTGATGATATTTCTGATGCATTACCCTTTTATTGCTGCTTGTAGAGATTCGAGCACACTATGAGAGCTATTCAAGGATCGTTGATAGTGTCTTCCTTTATCAACATAATACTTGGATACGGCCAAGCCTGGGGAAATCTTACAAGGTAAGTTGTGTTTTCTGCTTCTAAATGCTTATTACAAATACCATTAGTTCTGTCTTAGAATCTTGGAATTGTCTTTCTGTCTTTGGATTGTCTTCTACTTGTGTTTCATCACTTTATTACTTTCTGTGATGGAGGAATCACATGCCCTTCTTTTTGCCTACAGGTTTTTCAGTCCTATTGTCATTACGCCACTTGTCTGTGTTGTAGGTCTTGGTTTGTTTGGTAGGGGCTTTCCTCAGGTAATGTCCCGCATTCTTAAAAGATTCGTTGGTCGAGAGTTGCATAAACGTCATCCAGTTTTATTTATGATCCTATGATTTGATCAGGTGGGTGACTGTATAGAGATTGGCCTACCCATGTTAATTCTACTTGTCATTTCCCAGCAGGTAATATATTATTCATTGACTAGTTTTTCTAGTGATAATCCTTTCAACTTACTATAAGATTGTAATGTATTTGCAGTATATGCAACGTGTTCATCCAGTTGCCCAATCTATACTTGAAAGGTTTGCTTTGCTCTTGTGCATTGGGCTTATCTGGGCTTTTGCTGCTATTCTTACTGTTGCCGGTGCTTACAACCATGTGAAGGAGCGAACTGAGCTTAGCTGCCGAATTGACCGTTCGTTCCTCTTGCAATCGGCTCCATGGTACTCAGCTGGATACAATAATGACAATGTCTTCAGCCTCTATCTTCTGCTGACGTGTATGTTTGGTTGCCTGTAGGATCAAAGTTCCTTACCCTTTCCAGTGGGGGACTCCCATATTCAGAGCTAGCAGTGTTTTTGGAATGATGGGTGCTGCACTTGTCTCAGCAGCAGAGGTTCACTTGTCATTTTGATTAAATTTAATCCCCCCCGCCAAGTCTTTGAATTAAATTTTTTCTTTTAGAAGCATGAGATTTAGTATAGGAGTTGTTGTCATTATGATTTCTTTAATATATACCTCCGATATTTGTTTGCAGTCAACAGGAACTTTTTACGCTGCATCAAGGCTTGCAGGGGCGACACCCCCGCCAGCACATGTAGTGAGTAGAAGCATTGGCCTACAGGTGCTTCATCCACCAAGTGATTCAACAATGCCCTTTTTACAATTTTCTTCTACTTTTGCCCTCTGATAAATTTTCAGCATAAAAAAGTGGTTCATTTTGCTCTGTCCAGGGTTTAGGCCAGCTCTTTGATGGGTTCTTTGGTGCTGTTGTTGGCACTACTGCATCTGTGTAAGGGTTAATTTCTCTCCTGATTTAACGCAAAGCGTCTTCTGGTTCAGTTGATAAATTTTCTTCATAGACTTTCTTGGCCTTTGCAAATTTTTAATCTTCCCCCTTGCAAACCATTTTGACTAGTTATTTATCACCCAAAAAAGTATTCTAATAAGTTTTAAAGGGCAGCCCGGTGCACTAAGCTCCCACTGTGGGCAGGGTCGGGGAAGGGCCAGACCACAAGTGTATACCCTGCATTTCTGCAAGAGGCTGTTTCCACGGCTTGAACCCGTGACCTCCTGGTCACATGACAATAACTTTACCGGTTACACCAAGGCTCCTCCTCTTTTTTAATAAGTTTTTTGAAGACGTAAAAGACTAAAAGTATCCTTCCAGAAGTACCATCTGAGGGATAGATATTTTCTTCCATGATACTTTCTTCGTTTAATGTTGTGGCATTCACGCCTAATTTATAGATGCTACAAAACTGCAGTGAAAATGTCGGCCTTCTCGGACTAACTCGTGTTGGGAGTAGAAGAGTTGTTCAGATTTCTACTGCTTTCATGATCTTCTTCTCTATATTTGGTTTGGCTCTTTCTCTCGCTCTCTCTCTCCCCCACCCGACCCCTTTCTTTCTTCATCCCTAAGTATGTTTTCCAACTAACAATACTAACGTAAGTTATTGTCCAGGAAAATTTGGAGCATTCTTTGCTTCAATTCCTTTGCCAATATTTGCAGCTATCTACTGTATCTTATATGGTATAGTTGGTGAGTGCTTTTTTCCCTTAGCTTTTTTATCTTCTTGTAATCTTATTAACAGTGACTTGAGAAGTAAATTTTTTTGCAGCTGCTATTGGTATTTCCTTTATCCAATTCGCTAACAAAAACTCCATGCGGAATATTTACGTGCTCGGAATCTCTCTATTCCTTGGTATATCTATACCCCAATACTTTGTTATGAACACAGAT